GCCTTGAACAGAGATGGTCGCGAATTGACCGCGGTCAAAGTTGGCGACCTGCACGATTCCCTTCGTACCGAAACCTGGTGACACCACCACTGATTCAGAAAAGAAATACGCGCCTCGAACACAGAAGCTTTTCACGCCGTTCCAACAACAACACTCCCAAAGCAGTCGTATAACACCAGGCAGAGACACGCAAACAGAACAAGTAGAATCTCCAGTATGTCATCCCCTTCCGACAAAGGGAAAGCTCCAGCTGATGCCCCCAGTCAGAACCAAGACAATGACGATGCCAGCGCACCGGACAGCCAGGCAGTGAGGATGCATGGCACGGAAGTCTCCCAAACTGGAGATCAACCCCCGTCTATCAGGACTGCGGGTGGTCCTTCGCATCCATCTGCCCCGGTGCCCCGCCCTCCCGTGAGGCGCGGTGGTGCAAACGGCTCCGCTCGTAGCAGTCGCGGTACCGGCGCTGGAAACAACTCTAACCCCCACCTTCGACCACCAGAGTGGTTCGCTTCACAGCTTCCCGACCCGAGTGCGCCATACAACGCGTCAGACGATTACGGTGTAGGGGCTGAGGCCGCGGATGAGTGGAATGCTGACGACGACGATGTTGACTCAACGGACAAAAACATGGAGGTGGATACTTCGAACGCAACGACCTTCGATACCGGCCAGACGAGTGGTGGTGGTGAGAGAAGCGTGAAGCCGCGATGGAGCAAGACGGAAGACTTCCAGCTTGCGGAGGTGAGGTATGATCTCAAGAAGTTGATGAAGAACATGCGCGGCTGCCAAGGACAGAGCCAGGACGCGGCTCTCCATAAGAAGCTCCTGTCCCGCTATCCCGAGTAGAGGCATAAGCCACAGGCAATCCGCGCTAAGCTGAGGCGCATGCAAACCTCGTACGGGAAGTGGCGGCGTCTGATAAACAAGTCAGGGCGCGAGCGCATCCGTGGTGTCCCGGCCTGGTACGACATGTTCGATGAGATTTTTGGTACGAGCGAGTCCGCGCAGCCCGAGACGACGGTTGAGAGCACGCCTGCCACAACTCCGAACGTCTCTAACATGGGTAAGCAAACATTTCGTCCTTTTAATGATATTCCGCGTTTATCAATAATGTGTGAACATCAAAAATCTTTTACAGAATGCGGCTAATATCAGAATGTGTGTCTGTCAACAGGAAACCCGAGCGACACAACCATGGGCGGCAGCGCGCCCAGCACGCCTACTCCCTGAAAAAGGCGTGTGACGGCGGCAAGTGCGGAACCGGAGGGCACACCGCAACGCAGTTCTTCTGGTCCACGGAGCCCGCCGCATGTTCAGGCGGAATCTGGTCCACGGGGGCGCGCTACCCTGACGCCGCGATCACTCCGTACGGGCTCTGGTGTTTCGCTGCGCCCCATGCGCAGCCCTGCTCGGGCGAGATCGGCGCCTGGTTGGGGGGGTGGACAAGGTGATGGGAGGGACAATGACCGTGAGGACAGCACTGGTGGTTCGCGTCAGTCCTTGTTGTTCGCGGTGTGTGATCACATGAGCGATAATCTGACAGGGGTGATTCAGACAGGCATCCGAGACTTCTTTGAACGTACCCGAGTAGCGGCCGCGCCTGCGACGGATGACCAAGACGCCACGACGCGTACAGATAAGCCGTCAGACGATTCCGGCGACAAGCCGGAGTAAACCCCTCGATCTCTTCGCCCGTGTGCGTGAGCGTGGCTGGAGGGCCGTCGAGCCACCATCGGCTGCAAGGGCGGGGAGGCTCGATGCGAGGGCGACGGCCGATGAGCATTTCGATGTTATGAAGCGTCACCACCGCAGCGATGGTGTCCGGGACGTTGCGGCGGTGGCATTCCATGCGCGCATCAAGGATGCGCCGCTTCAAGCGACCATTTACTTGCCCGACAATCATCCGAGTGCGTGACTGCTGCTTGTTCCAGACGGCTTGGGCATCGGGGAGTAGACGTCCAGGGCACGCGCGGAACGGCACGTATGTGTTTTTCTCTAGGCCGTACGCGGCATCACTAACTAGGCAGTAGTCGTCGATTCCGCCTTTAGCAATGTGTGCACTAGCCTTAAAGTTTGCGAAAACCCGTGCGTCGTTCACTGAGCCAGGCCATCCACAATTGAAGTCCCAAACAATGCCGGTGCTGTCGACAATTAGTTGTAGGATGACGGAATGAAATCCCTTTCTGTTTTTTAAATCTTCCTTGTGCACACCCCACCCGCGAGTGTGAATGTAGGTGCCATCCAAAGCTCCGACGATCCCTGGAATACCGCTTGTCCAAAGGAAGTCGTCCTCAAACATGGCGAGCTCTTCTTCGTCTGGCCATGACACCCACTCTCGCGTCAAAATTCTTTGCTAAAACGGATGTAATCACGCACAACACGACGGGCGTGTGTGTGAGACACTCCGAACATCATCCCCAATTCCCGGTAGGTTAAACCGCTGCCAAAGCGCGAGAGCACAATAGCGATGCGGAGTCGCGGGTTCAGTCCGTAGATACCCCTGCTTTCGAGGTCATATTCGTAGGAGCGGCATAAGTAGCCGAAAACAGCCTCATCGACGCGCAGGGTGGCGTAGAGGTGCAAGGGTGTGAATGCCAGCAGACGTTCCTTCCAGCATAGCTGCTGAACGCGACGGTCAGCCTTCCAAAAGGCTCGCCTCTCTGCCGCCACCGCAAGTGTCAGAATTATATTCTTATACCTGCATGTTGTTCTAGCTGTAGTGTAGATATTAACTTTATAGGTGGTGCACCTCTTTCTTCACTTGTTTGCTATATGTACCCTCTTGCTATAGTGAACATCCATTCCCATTCTCGACTTTCTCTCTTGGCACAAATCAACTCGACTCCCCCTTGGCCTAGGCCACTAAGCCTAGGCCCTAAACTTAACTACCACTTGTGCTAGTATCTTGACAGCAAGACCGTAGAGTTCTGGTAGGAGCATTGCGAGCGCGGCAAAGCATGGCGTGAGAATGCAGGTGAAGAAACCAGTGAACAACAGTGCATGGCGCTCCTCCACACTACGGGAGGGCATCTTGGAGTCCCCCACCTTGTGATGTTTTCTCAATGACGAGCATGTTGGTTTTGTAGGTGTTGGTATGACCCTGTGGGACGTGTCGCGATGTTGAATGAGATGTCTGTGTTCACTGGTTGGAGCTTGGTTGCAGCGGCGCGCTATACAAGTCGCGGCGAAATTGTGACTTTCGCTCATGAACGCACAATGGTCGCGAGCACTCGACCGACCTCATGGTCGAAACTGTAAATCAACCCCGCAACAACCACGGTAATTGCAAATCTACAGGGAACGCCCCAGATGTTTGTTACCACAACCCTCGCATGTCGGCCAACCCAACCAAATGGTCTGATTTTGGGGTCGGTCGGAGCAAAGTTACACGCCCTAACAGCTGTCCGGTTTGACCGGACTATTCCAGGTCTAGCCAGACCTCCCTGGTTCGCCCCGGAACTCCCAGGGTCCGACCAGACCTCCCGGGGTACGCCCGGACCTACCAGGCTCTGCCTGCCCATACTGCCGCTTATACAGTATTAAAGCGACGGGCAACTTTTGGCAGTGTTGGGTTCAGAAGTTTTTTTTTTGAACCAGGCTTGCCAGCGCGAAAGTGCTGGCTGGCGAAAACCAGGATTTCGTGAGGACACTTTCCATCCGCAGTAATAGTTCGCCAGGGTTCTGGGTTTTGGGTGGCAAATGTGCACCGTCGCTTTAACCCTAAACTACGTGAAGGTTTTGAATAATTGGTGTGCAGAAAGGATGTTTGATTCCGAATTCGAATTCTGGCACACAGCGGCGAAACGAACGATCCCTAATTTCTCCAATCTCGCAACGAGGTCATACGTCGAAACAGGCACTAGACAGGGCCGTGCTATGCTTGTGTCCTGAACACCTCGTCCAAGCACCCTTTCAACCCCTCAGTAGTTGCCAAGCTTCCGCAAATATAGCAACGGGTTGACTCTCGTGTGGTGGGTGATTGCGGAGCTACTAGGCACGAGAGTGCGGGCACGTGGAGAGGGTCACTGGGTGGCGGCATTGCACAGCCCACTGGCTGTGGCACGCCGTGCTGGGTGTAGAGCCGTCCCACGAAGTGCGCCGTGCTCTACCATCTGCTCTGCTGCTCATGCTGCCCCCTCCTCGTGCCTCATGCCCGGCCCTGCCGTTCTGTGCCGTGCTGTGCTGTGCTATCCGTTCACTGCATGCAGACTACCCGTCGTCCCCAGCAGCATTGCTGCAGGAGTGGTCTGCGGCGGCAGCCCTGCCCACCTCCCCGTTCTCCCCAACGACCCCCCCTACTCCCGGCACGCAACCCCCGCCCTCCTGCCACGCGTGCCCTGCCTGCCCGCCCTACTCGGGCGCCTGGGCTCCCTGTTCTGCCCCTGCCCCTCCCCCCGCCCATGCGCATGTGGCAAGTGCACCCGGGCAGGCGGAGGAAGAGGCAAGCAGCAGCAGCAGCAGCGGCAGCAGCAGTAAGGAGCAGCACTCAGCGCGGTACTCGGTGGAGTCGTGCCCGGTGCTGCCAGCGGACATGGACTGCCATGTGCGGGGCCGCCCTGCCACCATGGCCCGCTATGACCACCTGTGCTGGCGCCCCCACGCCTGCCACCTGCCACCCTTTGACTCCCTTGACTTCCTGCACCGGTGAGTTCTGATTCCACTCAAAAAGTACTCCTGTCATCTGCCACCCGCTGACCCCGTTGCCCCGCTGACCCCGTTGCCCCTGTTGACCCCCGTGAATGAGCCTCCGCCTTGCATCGACTCACCGGCAGTGATAGAAGGCGTGTCGCTCACTCCGTGCCCGCCCACCGATGCACTCTGCTCAATGACTCGCTGCTGCTGCCAATGCTCATCGCTGCTGCCAATGCTCATCGCTGCTGCCAATGCTCATCGCTGCTGCCAATGCTCATCGCTGCTGCCCGTTGCCTCCTCGCGTCTTCCTGTCTTCCTGCATTTCCCCCTCTTCCATCCCCGTCCACCCCCCTGTGTGCTGGCAGGTTCCGCAACCGAGTGATCGCGTTCATAGGGGACTCCATGGCGCAGCAGCAGTTCATCTCCCTCCTCTGCCTCCTCCTCAACCCCACAGGCGCCGCCGATACCACCACCACCGCTCGGAATACCACTGCCAACCCCGACACCACCACCGCCGCAAGCACTAGCAGCATCACTTTAAACGTCAGCAGCAACGGACGCGACGGGAGAGGGCGCAGGGCCAGCACACGCACCCTTCACCCTATGTCGGATCAATACCGATTGAGCTGGGAGGAAGGGTGGCAGGGGTGGAACGGCGCAGCGTACCGCGTGTTGCGATTCAACGTCACCATCTTGCACAAGTGGACCACGTCGCTCTGCCACATGGCAGTCAGCGACTGGTCGAACGCATCGCAGGTGCATGCAGTGCATCTGGACAGGCCGGACGAGTTCCTGCAGGCGTACCTGCCTCAGATACACCTCCTCGTGCTCAACACCGGCCCGCACTGGACACGGTACCCACGGGTGCTTTCCCGCCCTGCCTGCTGCCTCTGCACATTGTGCCGCCTTTGCTGCTGCTGTTCATGAACGTGGCCTGTTGGCCCTTGTGCTGCTGCTCTGCTGCCCACTCGCTCTTCCCTCTCCTTCTCGAGTCTGTACACTCGTTTCTTCTCCCTGTGTTCTTCTTCCTCACCTCCTTGCCCTCCCTTGTTTCTGAATATGCATCGTTTCCTATCCCTCTTTCTCCCGCTCCTCTCACCCTCAGTTTCTGCTCTCCACCCCTACTTCTTCCGCTGTGCTCTAATCCTAATCTCCCATTCGAACCTCCTCTTCTCCATATCCCAGGTGGGAGGTCGCCGACTATCACTGGCGCTTCCACGTGAGCAGCCACCCTGTGAGCCAAGAGCAGCAGCGCAAGCTGGAGGCAAACCCTCTCCTCGGCGCCTACACGGCGCTGCGCACCACCATTGCCTGGATCCTGAAGCATCGGAGGAGCGGTGCGGAGGAGGGGGGTGGGGATGCGGCTGGGCAGCTTGGGAGTGATGCAGGCAGTGGGGACAAAGGGATGCACCGTGAGGCTGGGAGTGAGGGAGTGAGTGGTGCTGGGAAGGGCGCTTTTGGAAACAAATTCAAGGAGGCAGTGGAAGGGGCAGGCGGCGTGGAGGGGGTGGGTGGAGTGTGCAAGGAGGGGAGCGGGGGCAGTGCGGCACTCCCCATGGTGGTGGTGCTGGGGCAGCCGTCCGTGCACTCCAATGGCTCCCACGCCGGCTGCCATACCCTGCCCGTAAGATTGGCCAGGGGCGTGCGTGCATGGGAGGTGTAGGTTTGTGGGCCACACATGTAGCCTTTCTTGACTCCTGCTGCTGGGCTGGCTGTTCTGTTAGTGCTTGTGAATCAGGGGGGGCAGGCTGCATGGTGAAAGGTAGGGGAATTCATGTGTGTCGAGCATGGCATGTCATGTGTGGCTCGTTACAAACAAGCATGCGTGGCTCGTGCACAATTGTGTGCTCCCTGTGAGCCACTCTCTTCACATGAATCCTCAGCATGTGTCCATCCTTGCTGAACCTTTTTTCTTAACCACAACCCCCATCTCTCCCCTTTGTTCCACGGACTCCCCACCATGATGCTCCCAGCCGTTTCTAACAGCAAGGGAGGTTGAGCAGCTTTCATTTTTGTCCCGGGACTGGTTTGCAGAGGCAGCAGTTGCAGACGCCATTGCAGCACACGCAGCAGCAGGAAATGCCGGAGCAGCGGCATTTGGTGAACTGGCAGCCGACTCAGAGCCAGTCCCACGTGACTCGTCCGTTGTTATTCCTGATTACCTCCCGGACCCCCGGACTCCATCGCCAGCATCCTCCATGCGCCCACCCGCTTCTCTGCCGGTGCACCTGCTTGACGTCACGGGCCTCACATCCACACGCCCCGACGCACACAAGTCCAAGTGGCACGGGGGGGACAGCAGCAGCGACGGCGAGCAGGGCGACTGCGTGCACTGGTGCCTGCCTGGCGTGCCTGACACCTGGAACGACCTGCTCTACGCGCATGTAGTGCGCAGCGGCTGCTTCCCGCTCAGCGATCGTGGGTGACCTACCGCTCACCGCTCACCACCTCTGACCATTGACCAGGCGGCAGTGGGTGGAACGGCATGTGGTGGTGCCTGTCCCTCTGCTGCCATTGTGGTTGTGTCCGAGCAGTGCTCTCAGAAGCGGCAGGCAGCATCACATTCATTAGCCACGGCACTTTCTCCCTGGGACGTACCGTTTACGCCCCTCCGTATTTTATGAATGCATATAATCTGAACTGAAATAAGTTTTACAAGCCCCCATTGGTACTGCCTGTACACTCCTCCCTATCTTCCCAAAAGGAAAGCTATATCCCTTTTCTGCCTCTCATCTTTCCACACTCACGTTACCCGTACCATCTCCCATCTCTGTCTCACGAACCTTTTTGTCAAACTATATATATATGTGTGCTAGGCTATGGTGAGGTATGCTGTAGGGAGTACAACATTGTTAGGGTTAGCTATTTTTACCCAACCCTTGCTAGTCCAATCCACTCCGCCGTTCTAACTTTGACATGGTATTGAGCAAGGTTCCCTCCTAGGGACCTACTTTTGGGCCCGCCAGTTCTCCCTCCGTTCATGGCGCCCGTTGCAGCGCCCATGAAGGCGCTCGTCGCTGCACTCGCTCGCTGCCCGCCCCGCACTTCCCGCCCCGCGCTACCCGCTCCGCGTGCTGGTCGCTTTGTCCCGCGCGTAGCCCCACACGCTCGGCTGCACGCGCGGCAGCAGTTGCGCGCGCAGCAATCAGCCGCACGCACAGCAGCAGCCACGCCAGCACGCACGCGCCCGCACATGCCCCCGCCCGCCCGCTCGGCCGCACGCGCCCCCGCCCGCCCGCTCGGCCGCACGCGCCCCCGCCTCCGCCAGCGGCACGCCAACGGAGGCGGCGTGCCCGTGCCCTGCCCACCGCCCCGCCACGCCCCTGTTGATTGTGTAGGTGGTTGTGGTATTTTGCTCTAGCTGGTTGTGGGCTAAGGGTTTGGGCAAAATGTGGTGGTTAGACTTGTTGCAGGCTAGAATTGATCTCGCACCCAACAAGCACCAACAAACCTTTGCTATTCACTACAACACCTTTGGTGTTGCTAGTTTAGCACTTTGGTTTGTTGGGGATTGTTGTAGGGCGAGGGTTGGGTTGGTAGGGTTTGAACAACTCGTCACTTTTGCAGATATGAACTCTTGCTAAAGCTACTTTCTTGATCTAATCCATGGCTGCTAAGTAATTTCGCCAGGATACCCCGTCGCACTTAAATCGCGATAACGATCGGCCTAGATCTTGGTTGAAGGCGAGCGTTACCATTCTGGAAAGTAGAGATTAAGCCATTTCCAACGCGTACCTGCTCATAGTTTAAGGTTACGTGAGCTGCACGCAATGTTCCGTCGAAGTCGGCTTACTTAATCTCTTGTACGCTCTCCAGATTCGCTCGCTTTCCATCAGTGGTATCAGAGCTGGTTAGGCCTGCGACATTCCCTCCTATTATCATATTTCGAATTGGCTTAAGAACCTCCAGATATAGGGTCGGTTATGGCCCAGAAATCAGATGGCCCTCCTAGGTTCACCGGCTCGGATTTTTCGTTATGGCGGTTCCAGTTTACGCTTTGGCTAGGTATTAAAGACCTAGAGGGCGTTTTGGAGGGATCGGAGCGAAGACCTGAAGCTGATGAAGGAAAGGCATCTACTGGAGTCTCTAAACAAGTGGGAGAAGGGGCTGGGGGAGCCTCTAGCTCATCCATAACTGAGGGAAGTGGAGGTGGATCAGCAGCACCGCGAACCGGAAGGCAACGGCCTAGTGCGGAGGAGATTGTTAAGGCACAGGAAGCATGGGACCGCAAGGACAAGCAAGCGTTCCAATACCTGTGTTGGGCTTTGGAAGGCCAACTAGAGCTCCTAAAGATGCTGATTGACCTGAAGGGGAAGCAAGGAGCAGCTGCCCAAGCATGGAAGAGAGTTCAAGATCGGCACTTGCAAAAAGGGCTGCTAAGCATACTCACCTGGAGGAAGCGGGTTTACACCATGGAACGCAACTATGGGGATGGGGAGACCATGGTGCATTATCTCCAGAGGGTGGATGAGTATGTGAGAGCCTCAGAGGAGTTGAACTACACTGTAGATGAGAAGGAGATCATCTACACCGCACTCCAGGGGCTGGACCAAGAGGCGAACGAGGCCCTACTGCAGTACCTTCACCTTGAGCAACAGAAATGGACCAAGGCCTGGATATGGGAGGTGTTGGTCTCTGATGAGGCTCGCAAACGAGATGCTGGTCGAGGAGTTGAAGGGGGAATGGGGGCAGGTGATAGGGCTGCCTCCAAGAAATACCAGCAGCGGCACGGAGGTGGGGGGAAGAAGAAGGAGCTCGACAAGTGCCTCGTCCCTGGATGCAACCGGAAGCACTCTTGGAAGGAGTGCTGGAGCCGACCAGATGGGTGGAAGCCTCAAGGGTACACAGGAGAGGCTCCACCTGTCACTAGGCCTGAGTGGGTGGAGAGGAGGATAAAGAATGGAGCATGGAACAAGAAGGGCAGCAAAGAGAAGGCGGCAGCAGCGGCGGCAAACGAGGATAAGAAGGGAAAGGATGATTTATCGGATGATGGCTTCTCCTTCTTATCCTTCGAGAAGGAGACGGCGCTTGCTGGTCGTACGTTGGCTGACCCCAATCAGCTCATTCTAGACTCTGGAGCAACCTGTGGAATGGTACCTCGGCGCGACCTCTTCACCACCTATCACTCCCTCCCACCTAACTCCAGAAATGTGATTGTGGGAGCGGAGATACGCTGCAAGCAATCGGCATCGGCACCATCAACGTCAAGGGGAAGGAGGGGGAGGTGTTGAATGTGAAGAGTGTGCTTCATGTTCCTGAATTGGCAGCCAACCTTCTCTCATGCTCTCAACTTGCGAGGCAAGAATACATATGCACCTTCACTATGAAAGGTGGCATGGTTCGCAAGGGTGGAGCTGTGGTGATGGAGGCCAAATTAGAGAAGGGTCTATACCTTGTTCCAGTTTGTGTGCCTCAGGTGGAGAGGGCACATGGTGTTGAAGCCGAGGAAGCCGCTTGTAGCACCTGTTGGAGGGACGTGGAGCAGGTGACGGCAGATTTGCTGCACCTACGCATGGGGCATGAAGGAAGGCAGCAACTTGTGGAGTGTGTGAAGAAGGGGGAGCTGAAGGGAGTGGAGATCAAGGAGGGTGGTGGGCAGCCAAGCAAGTGCCCTGATTGCACGACCGGGAAGCTGCCAAGGACCTCTTTCCCTACCTCCACCACTAGAGCCTCCGCACCTCTTGAGTTGGTGCACACGGATGTGTGTGGCCCCATGCAAACACCGGATAGGGAGAAGGGCAGCAAATACTTCATCACCTTCTTGGATGACTTCAGCCGCCTAAGTTGGGTTACCTTGGTGAAAACCAAGGATGAGGTGGCCAAGGTCTTCAAGCGTTGGATACGCTATGCGGAGAGGGAAGCCGGGGCGAATGTGAAGATACGAAGGTCTGATCGGGGTGGGGAGTATATGGGGAAGGACCTGGAGACCTTCCTGGAGGATAAGGGAATCACCCACCAGCTTTCAGTTGCCTACACGCCGCAGCAAAATGGGGCAGCGGAGCGGCTTAAACGGACCCTCATTGGTCTTGCCCGAGCCATGCTTGCTCATGCGCAGCTGGACCATACTTGGTGGGGGGCAGCAGCGCAATATGCCAACTGGGTTAAGAACCGGATGGGCAGCAAGGGGCTAGGGGGCAAGAGCCCATACTTCATGTGGACCAGGAAGGTGCCTAGTGTGTCCATGGCACGAGTGTGGGGGTGCATGGCGCAGTACAAAGTGCCCGACCAGCAACGGAGGAAGCTGGATCCGAAGGCACAATGGGGCATTTTCCTTGGGGTGTCGGAGAGGAGCAAAGCTTGGATGTTGTGGAGTGTGGCGGATCAGCGGGTGGTGGAAAGCCGGGATGTAGTTTTCCACGAGGGGCTGAGCTGCAAGGGGTGGAAGGAGCATGGTGCTAGTACAGTTGAGAGCTCCCTCCAGGATCCCTACACCTCTTCCATCTTTGAGGGGGCATGGGAGGACCCTGGAGAGGAGGTAGAGGAGCAGCAAGAGGAACAAAAGGCAGCTGCACCTCACCATGAGGAGTCACCAACTGCTGGTTCTACCCCTGACCCTAACGCACCAGCCCATGACCCGGAGCAGCCACATGGGCAGCAGCAGCAACAAGAGAAGCCGCAGCAGCCACCACAAGAGCATACACCGCCTGTTCCTGTGGGCAGGTTGCAGCAACTACTGCAGCAGCAGCTGTCCAAGTCACCACGGTCCCCCATGAAGAGAGTGACTTGGAAGGAGAAGCTGCAAAGTGTGGAGCAGGGGGAGGCATCACCTCTGCGCCGCACCACACGCATCTCCCGGCCACCTGAAAGGTTCACACCAAGTGCACAGTATGCTTGCATGCATGATCATGAGGTGCATGATTTGGAGGAGTGCATGCTTGTGGATGCTGAGGGGGGTGAGCTTGGGCTTGATTTCTGTCTCATGGGTCAGGTGCATGAGCCTAAGTCGGTCAAGGAAGCCTTGTCCCATCCTGAGTGGGTCGAGTCCATGCGTGAGGAGCTTGAGTCTCATAGGGTGAACGAGTCCTTTGAGCTGGTTGATCCAGCTTGTGTGCCACCTGGAATGGAGGTCTTGAGGTGTCAGTGGGTGTGGAAGTATAAGCACATGGCTGATGGGAGTATTGAGAGGCCTAAGTCCAGGTTGGTGGCCATGGGGAACACTCAAACACGAGGCGTTCACTATGACCAGGTATATACCCCGGTGGGTAAACCTACTACCCTGAGAGGTTCCCTTGGGATGGCAGCATCTTCGGGGATTCACATCCATCATATGGATGTGACCACTCCCTATCTTCATGGGGTCTTGAAGGAAGAGCTTTACATGAGGCAGCCCCCTGGTTTTGATGATGGGTCCGGCAGGGTTTGCCGACTCAGAAAGTCAATCTATGGGCTAAAGCAAGCTCCCAAGCAGTGGTACCTCAAGTTTGAT